CTTAGCTGCAAGCTGCTTTGAGTCTGGTCTGTACATGCTCAATTTCAGCACACTCCCTGAGATTGAAGAGAGGCAGTGGGAGACTATATTCACTCACCTGAATCCTTACCTTATTCATATATCTTTGTCCTGCATGATTGCTGCTTTAGGAGTAAATGAAATTAAAAAAGAAGAAAATGGGGTGCGTGACTGGCTCAGTTGGTAGAACATGTGACTCTTGACCTTGGGGTTTTAAGTTTGAGCACTCTGTTGGGCTCAGCAAATATGGGGCGCGTGGGTGGCTCAGTCAGTTGAGCGGCCAACTCTTAATTTTGGTTCAGGTCATGATTTCAGGGTCGCGAGATAGAGCGCTGTGTTGGGCTCTGTGCTCAGCAGCGAGTCTGTTTGAGATTCTCTCTCTCCCTTTCCCTCTGCCCCTCCCCCTGCTCGCACGTGCTCTCTCTCTCTCAAAAATAAATAAAATATTTTTTTAAGAATTTGTTTTTGTTTTTTAATTTTATTTATTTATTTGACAGAGAGAGATACAGCGAGGGAGAGAACACGAGCAGGGGAAGCGGGAGAGGGAGAAGCATGCTTCCCGCCGAGCAGGGAGCCCGATGGACCCTGGGATCATGACCTGAGCCGAAGGCAGACGCTTAACGACTGAGCCACCCAGGCGCCCCAATGAATAAATTATTTTTAAAAAATAATTAATTAATTGGGGCGCCTGGGTGGCTCAGTCGTTAAGCGTCTGCCTTCGGCTCAGGTCATGATCCCAGCGTCCTGGGACGGAGCCCCACGCCGGGCTCCCTGCTCCGCGGGAAGCCTGCTTCTCCCTCTCCCGCTCCCCCTGCTCGTGTTCCCTCTCGCTGTGTCTCTCTCTGTCAAATAAATAAATAAAATCTTTAAAAAAATAAAATAAAAAAATAATAAATAACTAAAGGGATGCCTGGGCGGCTCAGACGGTTCAGCGTCTGCCTTCGGCTCAGGTCATGATCCCAGGGTCCTGGAATCGAGCCCCGCATTGGTCTCCCTGCTGAGCAGGGAGCCTGCTTCTCCCTCTCCCTCTGCCTGCCGCTCCCCCTGCTTGTGCTGTCTCTCTCTCTCTCTTTCTCCCTCGCTCTCTTTCTCTCCCTCTGTCAAATAAATAAAATCTTTAAAAAAAAAAATTCAATCTGAGGTCATGCTTTTAAACAATATAAATGTCTTCTTTTTTTTAAGATTTTATTTATTTATTTGGGAGAGAGACAGAGATAGCAAGAGAGCAGGAGTGGGGAGGTATGTATGAATGTTAAATTCCTTGAATTTGAAAATCATACTGGGGGGCGCCTGGGTGGCTCAGTTGGTTAAGCGACTGCCTTCGGCTCAGGTCATGATCCTGGGGTCCCGGGATCGAGTCCCGCATCGGGCTCCCTGCTCGGCGGGGAGTCTGCTTCTCCCTCTGACCCTCTTCCCTCTCGTGCTCTCTCTCTCTCATTCTCTCTCTCTCTCTCAAATAAATAAATAAAATCTTTAAAAAAAAAAAAAAAGAAAATCATACTGGGGTTATGTAAGAGTATGTTCTCATTCTTAGGAGATACATAATTATTTGGAGGTAAAGGGTCATGATGTCTACAACTTGTTCTGAAATGGTCTAACATTATTCACAACAACAGCAATAATAAATATATATGGAAGAAATCAAATACGAAAAGACATTCACAGTAAATCTAAGTTAAAAGTATATGGGAGTTCATTGTATTATTCTTTCAATGTACCTGTTTGAAATTCTAAAAAAAGGAATTTAAATATTAATTTAAAAAACACTTTAATGTGATCCTAATTCCACTTGCCAGGATGATGACAAATTCAGTCTTAATCATTTATGGGAGCAGTTCCCCTCCTTCCCAGGGGTTTTACATAGTTCAAAACATTCAGGAAGAGCCCTCTGGCCTTCAGGCCACATTGCTCACTTCCCAAAAGATCTTTTGTAGAGCTGACAGCCTCTGCCCTGGGTCTCAAGTAGTCGGCTAGCTGGGAGCCCTGGCACAGAAGGGCTGATCTCCCTGCCTACAGTATGTAGCCCTTCCCCTCCGACCATCCCCTTGCCTCTACCGCTCCCCTCCCTCCGTCCCTTTCAGGAAACTTGTGGGTTTCCTGTTACTCTTACTGGAGGAATCCCAAACCACTTTTCTCTTCCCAGTTTCAGAAAACCTGCTTTTGGTGTTATGGTACTCCAAATATGTTTCTCTAACCCTTCCCTTTGTTGAGTTCTTCTATACTACCATCTTAGGGTCTTTAAAAACACTGTTGGACTCAGTTTCCTAAAGGTGGAAATAGTAAAGGAAATGCTCTGTAATTTCACTAATTTATTGTATGAGAGATAAAGACATATATGCTTCAGAAAAAGTTCAAGGTTTCCCAAAGTTATCCACAAATCACTTGCATCAGTCATCAGAAATACTTGCTAAAGGGCGTCTGGGTGGCTCAGTTGGTTAAGCAACTGCCTTCGGCTCAGGTCATGATCCCGGAGTCCCAGGATTGAGTCCCGCATCGGGCTCCCTGCTCGGCAGAGAGTCTGCTTCTCCCTTTGACCCTCCCCCCTCTCATGCTCTCTCTCTCTCATTCTCGCTGTCAAATAAATAAATAAATAAAATCTTAAAAAAAGAAAAAAGAAAAGAAATACTTGCTAAAAATGTTCGTTTCTGGTTTTATATCCAGACCCACTGGGCCTAAATCTCTGGAGGTGGGGCTAGGAATCTGCATTTTTTTTTTACTGTGTTAAAACAATGTTTTATTATTTCTCACAATTCTGTGGGTTGACTTGGCAGTTCTGCTGAGTAAGCGTGGGCTCACTCAGTGTTCACGCTCAGCTGACAAGTCGATGAAGGGGTGGGCTCAGCTGAGAGTTTAAATGGCTGGTCTTTAATCCCAGGCTTCTTCACAGCATCTTGATCTCTGTCGGGGTAGTGTTCCTACGTGGTGAAGATGGAAACTTAAAGGCCTCTTGAAGTCTGAACTTCATAACTTGCACAACATCACTTCTGCCACAATCTATTGGTCAGGGTAAGTAATAAGGCAAGCCAGGATTCAAGGTGAGGAGGAGAATCCCCTGTTTGGACAGGAAGGAATCTGTATGTTTAAAGATTTTTATTTATTTATTTGAGAGAGAGAGAACACAAGCAGTGGGGAGGGGCAGAGGGAGAGAGAGAAGCATCCCCCCCCCCCCGCCACCCCCAGCCAGGACCCTGGGATCATGACCTGAGCCAAAGGCAGCCGCTTAACTGACTGAGCCCCCCAGACACCCCAGAATCTGTATTTTTAGAACAGCCTCCTCAGATGACACATGCACACTGGGGTTAAGTGTGAAGTATTCATTTAACAAATATGTGTTCACAGCTGTGTCCCATTACATTTGGAACAAATCTATATTTCTAGAATTTAAATTTATATATATATGTAAATGTTTTTTAGAAGGCTTTTTTCTTTTTTAAAAAAAATTTTATTTATTTGAGAGAGAGACAAACAGAGCACAAGCAGGGGGAGGGGCAGGAGAGGGAGAAGCAGGGTCCCCACTGAGCAGGGACCCTGGGATCATGACCTGAGCTGAAGGCAGATGCCTAACCGACTGAGGTACCCTCAGAACACTTATTTCTTATGTTACTTTTCGATCACAGAGCCTATCACAGTACTTGTGACACAGTAAATGTTCAGTAAATGAACATAAGTATTTGAATCCAGTTTGTGGAATATCCTAAGAATCATATGGAATTTCGCCCATAATTTCAGTCTCATTTGGGAGGTAAGATATGGGAAATTAAGATTTACAGACACAGGGGGTTTCCTGAAATAGTAATATGCTTTGGTGCTGTAGGAGATGGGACCACTGGAGGCTGGAATGTCAGGGGAGTTTGTGAAAAAGAATTTCAGGAGGAGCTTGAAAATGAGTAGGCATTGGAAGGAAGAGGGTCGGTGCACCTCGTATGATCACAGAAGTGGTTTTATTACTAGCAGGTTTAGGAGTCAGTGGCTGGTACACAAGTCTTATAAAAGGAATGGTGGAACATATTAGTAAAAGGGGTTGGGGATGGATTGTGGAGAGTCTGGGAGTGTGACAGGATGAAAAGGACATTACATGTCAATCTGTCATTTGTAATGGCAGTTAAAACTGAGGAGCTTACAACACTGCACATCAACCAAGCTTGGAATTCCAAAATGCTGGGCTCTCTAGCTGGGAATAGTTGAGGTGAATTTTATCTTAGAGCACATAGAAGCGAAAATAGCATAGTATGTTCTGATCACCAAATAATTCGTTTAAAAATCAGATTCCCCTTTCCCAACTTCAAGATATAATTGACGTATAACAAAATCAGATTCTCAGTAGTGGCAGAAACTTGCGATAGTACCTGTCCATGGCCTTAGGCGAATTACGGCCCCGCCCCGCCCCCCTTTTTTTTTTTAGCACCGCTGTCGTTCATGCCTTGATTACTATGTGCCAAGCGCTGTGCAGATACACTCTCATTTAATAGACCAAAGTTATCTCGCCCAGTAAAAACTGGTGAGGAAAATGAGACAGTCCTGATTCGTGATTCGTCCCGTCACAGCCCGATGGTTGCAAAAAAAGATGTAAATCTGGGCTGGAATACAGGCCGCACAGGAGGTGGAGGGAAAGAAGCTTCGCGTGGAGAGGTCATGGCGAAGGGAAGGGAAACGGGAAAAAAGAGACTCGGCCCCCTCTTCCAGGACTCCGCAGGTCGCTACACTAAGTGAAGGGGAAACCTCTCTTGCGTAACACCTGTCAAACCGTCTCCATTAGGCGTCTTTCCAAAATCACGGTACCTGGTTGGCGAGATTGGAGGGATAGACGATCCTGATTGGTTAGTTGGACCTCGAACCAGGCCTACGTTCCAAGGATCGGGCGAGAGGTGGGCGGGACTTGAAACTGAATCCGTTGTTTCATTGGTAAGAAGAAAAAAACGAACCAGGAACTATTCGGGAGCGTGATTGGCTGTTGCCAGGATCCCTCCGACGGCCGTAGGGACCTGAGTTACGGAAGCCGGGGAGGGCTGAGCACAAGGTCTACTTCGAGGAAGTTAACCTCGGAAGCCAGGATAGTGGTAGAGAAGAACTATTTCAGGCCCAATGGCGACTGTGGAAGCAAGCGACAGCGATGGGAAAGGGCAAGGGGTCGAGACCTCCGTCACATATTATCGATTGGAGGAGGTGGCGAAGCGCAACTCCATGAAGGAGATATGGCTGGTGATCCACGGGCGAGTCTACGATATTACCCGTTTCCTTAACGAGGTGGGGCCCGGGAGGTGGGCGGCCCCTGCGAGCTGCACGGGTGAGGGGTGGTCCGGAGCGGAAAAGTTGCAGGGTGTGTGTAGGAGGGAAATGAAGCCTGGCTGAGGGCGATAAGGCGTACGAAAGGGATCACAACTCCCCTAGACGGAAACTGAAGGGCCTGTTCTGCATGCATTTCTAACCAGCGCTAAATTCCGGAGTCTTCAATAATGTGAATTGCATATCATACATTGGGTACTTAACTGTACGCTAGGCCAAACTTTTAAGCCATCATTATCCCCATGTTACAGAAAGGGAAACTGAGCTTCAGGGACTGAGGATTCTCAAGGTCACACGCTAAACAGCCTATAACCCTTCCAATCTAGGTTTGAAGGGCTCTGAACCTGTGCTCTTTCCACGGCGCTCTCTGAAGTAATTCATTTCCGGTTTTCTTGAGAAGAAACTGAGATTTTTTTACCCCCTGATTATGCTGCCTTTGTTTTCTATTAATTTGAGTTAACCTTGAGGCCGGAAGGTAATGAGTTAACTTTTCTGGTCATTGACTCATCTTCTTTGTTAAATCTTCAGACCTGTTGCATTAGATCTCATTATGCAAGTTCTTGAGGCCGTGGTGCAACCGGGTGATTTTTTTTTTTTTTTTTTAAGGAAACAGGACAGACTTTTGTCTAAACAAACATATTGGGGTGTACTTTACATACAGAAATTGTGCCCATTTAAAATGTACAGTTAATGAGTTTTGACAAATATGTTCATCCATGTAATCACACTCCCAATTAAGACAGAGCATTTCCATCACCCTAAAAAGTTCCCTTTTGCTCCTTGACAGTCCACCCACCCCAGCCCCTGAGGCTTTGAGGTATTTATATATATATATACACACATATTAACATATATATTTTTTAGGTGTGTGTCATTTTGAGTAATGAAATCTTGTGGTGAATTCCTTGGAAATTCCTGTACAATATAACCTTGTTGTAACTGAAAAAAAAAACCTAATTTCTGTTCTTTCTGTGAATCAAGTATACTAGTAAAATACTTTTTCTACATTCTGATTCATAAATCTATAAAGAGCTTTGAAATGTAAAGGTTCCCAAAAGGACTTTTTTTTTTAAGATTTTATTTATCTGACAGAGAGAGAGAGAGACAGCGAGAGAGGGAACACAAGCAGGGGGAGTGGGAGATGGAGAAGCAGGCTTCCTGCGGAGCAGGGAGCCTGATACAGGGCTCCATCCCAAGACCCTGGGATCATGACCTGAGCTGAAGGCAGACGCTTAACGACTGAGCCACCAAGGCACCCCAAGGACATTGTTTTTATTAAATCTTCCTAATGGTCAGTAAGTTAACATCTTAGAATTTAGTAACTTGTATTTGGATGGGGTATGGCCTTTTATGCTTTTAAAAGGTACTTTAGGGTGCCTGGGTAGCTCAGTTGGTTAAGCGACTGCCTTCGGACAGATCATTGGACAGGTCGGATCCTGGAGTCCCGGGATCGAGTCCCACATCTTGCTCCCTGCTGAGCAGGGAGTCTGCTTCTCCCTCTGACCCTACCCCCCTCTTGGGCTCTCTCTCTCTCTCAAATAAATAAAATCTTTTTTAAAAAAAGGTACTTTAAAAGTACTTTCCCATTATTTCATCCTTGAATTACTAGTTGAGGGTACATCTGATTTGGATGTAGTGATCCCTATGTTAACAGGATGAGAAACAGATTCACAGAGATTTTGGTTGTACGGTTGATGAGTGGCAGAATCTGGTTTAGATAGATCCCTTGATTTCTCTTGTGTACATAGCATTACTTCAGAATTCTAGCCTTAGCTTAGTCCTTTGGTGCATATGTGCGTCATTGTAAGTTAAAGTTGTGGGTTGTAGCCTGTTAAAGCTTAGTTCATAATGGTAGGTAATAATGTTTTTCGTTTGTGGTTTCATTTCCCCCAAATTTCTATTTGATTGATTTAGAATACATAATGAACTTGGAAGGAACACTCAGTGCTTGTAGTGGACCTTCGTTCAATCTTTTTTTTTTCGTTCAATCTTGAGTAGTGGTTGCTAACCTGGTTCACACATGTTGGTAGAGCCAGAGACATCACAGGTATGCCAGAGCTGCCCATGAAGCTTGAGCCACAGCTCTTTACCTGCAGCTCTTTACCTAAGCTCTTCTTACTTAACCTGTTCTGTCATCTCAGTTCCTATTTTCTTGTTCATTCCAAGCCTGTTCATTCATTCACTTGCTCATTCAAATATTTATCAAGTGTCTATTATGTGTCACATACTGTTCTAGGTGCTTAGGATCCAGCAGTGGATATGCTGTATTTATGCCTTCATGAAGATTAATCTATGGGGAGTGGACAATAAGAGTGAATGCTGTAATATATGCTATGTTAGGTAGTGGTAGGTTCTAAGAAGAAAAATAAAGCAGAGAAGGGGACTGTAGACGTATATGGGATGAGGGTGTAAGGGTAAGGGGTTGAAATTTTAGGTATGATGGCCAGCCAGAGTTGGTTTTATTAAGAACATGACTAGAGTAAAGGCCAGAAGGAAGTTAAAGGAGCTAGCCATGTGGATATCTGCAGGAAGAGCATTCCTGTCAGAGGGAGCAAGTTTGAAGGCCTTGAGGTGGGAGTTTGTCTGATGTTGTTTGAGGCCAAGTGAGGGAGGTCATAGTGGCCAGATAGTAGTAGATGAGGTGAGCATGATTAGGTGAGGGCAGATCAAATACAATTCTGCAGGCTTTAGGAAGGGTTTTGACTTTGTGTAGGCTAGGAACCCACACTGGAGCAGGGGAGTGTCATGATGTGACTTAATGATTTAATAGTATCACTCTGACTGCATGGTTTAAAAGAGACTGGAGGAGGGCAAAGGGAGAATTGAGCCCAGTTACAGGAGGCTGTTGTAATTTGGGCAACAGGTGGTGGTGGCTTGGACCAGGCTGGTAGCAGTGAGAGGTGGTGAGAAGTATCGGATTTTGGATATGTGTTTTGTTTTTTTTCCCCAAGATTTATTTATTTTGGCAGTGGGGGAGAGAAGGGATGGCAGGGGGAGAGGGCAAAAGAGTCTTAAGCAAAGCACGATGTGGGATTTGAACTTGCAACCCTGAAATCATGACCTGAGCTGAAACCAAGAGTTCATCCCTTAACCACCCAACCAGGAGGTGCCCCTGGGTGTGTTTTGATGGTAGAGCCAATAGGATTTAATCTTTTTTTTTTTTAAGATTTTATTTATTTATTTATTTGACAGAGAGATAGCGAGAGCACAAGTAGGCAGAGAGGCAGGCAGAGGGAGAGGGAGAAGCAGACGCTCCACTGAGCAGGGAGCCTGACGCGGGGCTCGATCCCAGGACCCTGGGATCATGACCTGAGCCGAAGGCAGCCGCTTAACCGACTGAGCCACCCAGGCGCCCCGAGCCAATAGGATTTAATGATGCATTGGATTTGAGGAGTGAGAGAAATAAAAAATGGCACCAAGGTTTTTGTCCTATAGGTCAGGAGGAATAGAATTGCTATTAGATGAGACGGGAAGACCTACGCCGGTTCTCATTCTTCTCTTTACAATTTGAGATCGCTTTGGGATTCCTCCTTAGAAAGGGGTTCCTAATCTGAAAATCCTGTGTCTGTAGGTTGCTTTTTTTTTTTTTAATGAATATGGTTATAATGTTATTCTAGAGTTTGAATGTGATAATTTTGAATTGGTAAGGTAATTGAATTACCTTTCCCCTAACATTAATTTTGCATTTTTGAATTAGTGGTATTGGTTTAATTTATTGAAATCATGAATGAAAAACCAAAACCTTGCAGCAGTACACATCATTCATCATTGTCTTTCCACTTTAATAGTTTAGAAAAAGCACATAAAAATGGTTATACTGTCTTACGACATGAACTAGAAAATATCAAAGTACAGCTCCCTTAGCAAGGGTAAGTATGATTTTGTGAACCTTTGTTTCAGTTACTATTGTAATTTTCTTACTGTTGAGAGAAATTTGGAAGCCATTATCTTATGTTTAATAACTATTTCTGAAAAGAATAACTTAAAATAACACATTGTGATATTTTAAAGTTTTCTAGGTACTTTTTAGTGACTATGGGCATAAGTGGGAATATTACTATAGGGCTTGCCTCACAAATGGGATAGCATTCAACAGGTATTTGCTAGGTGCTGTCTACTGCTGTGGTACTAGACCCTGGTGGCAAATAAAAACGTGGTCCTGTCTTTTTTTTTTTTCTGTATTTTTCCTTTGTAGCATTTAATACAATTTTACTTATGTAATGATATTAGTCTTTCCCACAAGCCTGAAAGTTCCATGAGGTAGGGACTGTTTTTTCTTCCTAACTATGATATTATTAGGGCCCAGCAGGTACTCACTCAGTACTCTCTTAACAGGTAGATACTTTTCCCACAAATCTATCTTAGTAGATACTCTCCAAGAGTATGTGGAGAGGTACATGAAGTTTGTGAGCTTGGTGGTGGAGACGGTGGTTGAACAGCCAGAGGGATGGAAGAGTTCAGGGCTGGTGTAGTGGGGAAGCAAGAAGGGATCCTGGGGAGACTAAAGGATGCTCATTTAAGTTCCCCATGTCCCCAACATCCCATTCCCATACCAAGTGAGTCATTCTTCAATCACCTATGCATTCATTTCTTTAGAGAAAGAGGTAAACATCAGAGTATGAAACCAAGGCCAAAATAACTTTGCAGAATTAGACTGTGTCCAGGAAACCAGTCACAATTCAACTGGATTGGACTTCAACACAGAAATGATTGTGTTTCTCCAAATAATCTTCAATTTCGGAAGCTTACATTCCTTGAATATGTGGAAAGATAAATACACCTTCTTCTGCAGTCAGTTGCTGAGAAAGAACTTTGTTCTCCTGATGGACCAACACTATTTCTTTCTTGCTGCTCTTTTCCCTTCTCCTTTCTTTGGTTTCCCCTTGCCACGAAGCTTCTTTAGACGCAACTGCTCATCCCTGAAGTCCTGGTGCTCGTCTCTATAGAGGCCAAGAAAACGT